TATAAAGTATAATATTATAAATATATAATAAATTATATGTATATAATATGTATTATTTAATGTTATATATAATATAAATTACAGTCACGTTATTTTCACGTTTTATTTTTCTACTCTTTCCTGTCACGTGACTTTAGTTATGTTTTTAATTTTCTCTATATATAGTCGAACTCTGTCTCAAAATCGCTTTTTTATTTACTCTCTCGATCTTACCGATTCGATTTGACTCGATCAACCAACCAACCAATCAACGTCGCGGAAAAGAGGCAACAATCAAGATCGATAGAATTGATTCTGATTATTTGCACACGCTTTTACTGGTAGGAAAAGAAAATGCGCGCGCAAGCTTGGGATGAATAAAGTTATGAAGATGATAGGAAAATTAAATTAAGAAAACTAGTTTTTCAAGGAACCATTGGAAGAACTTTATTGTTGACAGTATAAAATATAATAGTTTTATATTTTTCCGCTATATATATTAACACGAGCTCAGTCATTACTGACGCAAATTCTACATTTTGTGAAAATTAATTTATCTCAATTGAAGAATCGAAACTGAGTTTGGTGTGGCAAGTAGTTAAATTATTTAATTTGATTATCGCAGAGAGATATATATATGTATAATTATACTTTGTCAATATAAAACTTAAAATGTACATAAATATACGTAATGTAGTTACACGCGTGTGCAGGAATAGAAAACCATTACCCATCGACCTACCACCTTCCTTTTCCAAAGATTCACAGACCCTGCGACTGAAGATACTTACTATCTAAATTTACAAAAAGTTCGAGTTTTTCTTCGTGATTTTTTAAATATTTTAAAACTCTTTTCTTAGCAGTTACGCGAAATTCCTCGAAATAGATTTACATATTTCTCGTTTTTTCTTTATTATAGTATTACATAATTATTAGAATTTTCTTATCATTGAAAACCCAAAGACGCAAATGGCGATCGAATGTTAATTATCACTCTGCAGTTCGCTGGATCCCGTGGCGTCCGGCGCTTTCTGCAGCTGCGCGCTCTGGAATCTCTCGTAGCCGCTGTTGGCTTGTTCGCCGTAGATCTTTCGACCGGGAATCCTCTCGTCCTCCTTGATGTTGACCTCGGCGCCGACCTGCACCGGCCAGGGCAGTTTATTGTCGTCGTCTCTGATCGTGATGAGATTGCTCACTTTTCGTTCGTTGTTGGTCGCGCCGAATTCGTCGTTTCTCACAAAGTTCTCCTTCGTCGGCACGCGAACTCGTCGCGTGTCGTCCTCGGGATGCACGTACGGACGATCGTAATAACTCGATCTCTTCGCGTAAGGATCGTAACCGCCGTACTGGTAACGATATCTGCCGGGATCAACGTTGCCGGGCACTCGTTTGTTGTACGTGCCTTCCCGCGTGACCGGCGTCCTACCCGCGTCATATGGCGGTCGGGGATTTCTCAGATCCACCGGTTTCCTCACGACTTCCGGTAACGTGGCGTAATAGATGATTCTTCTAGGTTTCGGTGCGAGCCGATTCCTCGCGTAAAAATCAAAGTCGTCGTCCCGGTAACGATCGTAACGATCGTAGTAATACGAATCGCTCGGTAGTCGCATGTAATAGTTCCTTTCCGTTCTGTACCGATCTGGATACTGGTAACCGTAGTCCCGACGATACGAGGGGTACTCGTAGTCCCTCTCGCGAATCGCATTTCTGTACCAGGGCGACATGTAGTCGTAGTCGTCGTAGGTCTTGACCATGTCCCGGGATTCGCGATATTCGGGATAGCTTCGGCGATGATGCTGACCCGTGATAAAATCCGCTCGCGGTGCCTGATGTCTGCGGTAGCTACCGGACAGAGAAGCTGCCTCTTCTTCCTCCTGTTGCTGCCGTATTATCTGATCCAATGGGATATGCTGACGAAACTCAACCGAGATCGGTTGGACCGAGGTCGACCATGTCTCGGGCGAGTCCACGCGAACCTCGCGGACGTTCTTCGCCGTCGATATCTTCTCCATGCTCGTCTCGTTGTTCGCTTGTCTGCGAGTACGCTGTACGGTGCCTCTCCGTACCTCGTTCTCGTCGTTGTCTTCGTTCGCGTCATTCGCGTGAAGAATTCTCATCATGAGTGTCTTCTTGAATATCTTTTGAAGAGGGACCGTTTCGACTTCGTCATCGCTGTAAGAAGAAGAGTCTAAGAATTTTCGTAAGTACTCGAGGCTTTTGTTCTCTCGAACGGTTTCTTCGACGTCCGCGGGATCATTCGACTCCACCGAACTCGATACGGCGATCTCCGCTTGCTTCCGAACGTTCTCCGATTCGTTGAACGGAGTCCAGCGACCTACTCCGCTCACGGTGCGAACTTCGAACGCCGAAGAATCCAGTCGAGGACGCAACTGATCGTTGTAAACGGATTTCACATGCGGCGTAATTTGCCAGGCCTCGCCGACGCCGGCCGCGGTGACTCCAGCCAGCAGGAAGATCAAACGGTACACGGTCGATAAGCACATCATCATAATCTGTCGAATAATTAAAAGCTTATTACTGGTGCCTGACGCGCTTCTACGTTCGAACATTGCAAGAATATAGAAATTACCGCGACAAAAATTTTAAAGAGTACTAATTATATATAAATTCTAATTAATTAGAGAATAGAGAGCTATTTTTAACGATCTTACGTGCCAGCAAAGCGAACTTTCACACGTTCCCTTCCCGTGGGAGTATGAAATGGTCGGCGTATCGGTCTGATTGTGTTCACTTTGAACGTAACCGTGAATATCGCCAGCACACTTTTCACCGAAACGCGCGAGTTCTAAAAAGACCGGCGATACACACATTCAATGACCGTTCCGTCCGGTTCGCCGCGCGGTCAGAGATCGCATCGAATCGTCCTCCAATGTGGACACGGCCGATTCTCCATAACAAATATAATTTCCCACCCCCGTTTCCGCGGTATTATGTCCGAGTTCCGGTCGGCTCGCACAGATCCGTCCGGAACGATTGTTCGTCCGGAGTATGTTGGCTATAGTTTGAAATCGCGTCAGATTCTCGTCGACGAAAGTTCAATGCTTCATGACAATCAAATTCGACGTTACAACAATGAAATTACACATGCGCGTGGTGTTCCATTTGCATCTTTTTTTTAAATTTCATTTGCATTCTCTGACTTCGTCTTCTAACTTTTCCGTATTTTATTTTGGGATTTTTCTTTGTTTTATCATTTTTATGTCGATTTTTAGAAATTAAAAATCAATGTGGATGATACTTGGTTGCAACATGTTAAACGCTATAAAAATAAAACGAACAACGAGATGCCAACGATCTAATCACGTGAACAAAGAATTCGCAGTTCTACGGAACAGAGGGCCTTTTCTAAGCAAACACATCGAAAGTTTCCGGTTACTTGTCGAGTCATTCCTCCCGTTGTTACAAGCACGCTCGGTTACATTGTGAACGCCGGTAACCAGACGATCGTCGAGCACGAAGTCGGTATATCTCTCCGGCGATGTAGCGGAACAAATCTTCGGCACGATGACGATCTTACGCCGTTACCGCGACGTCGCACAGTTACGTTCCCCGTTTTACAGTTAGACGCCTACGAGACTGCGTCTCGCTTTTAGAAACGCAATTAAGAAAATTTTTTAATTGGCTACGCACGACGCGAAGAAGATAAGTACTGTCGCGATGGCAAACTGGACGTTCGCGAACGTCGGAAATTAGAACGCGATGTGTGTAACGGAAACGTCACCGTTTTTAACGGATCTATGTTTTTTTGTTACCTTTTGTGTTACGAGATCGCGAGATATAAAGATAGATTTAAAATTGTGCTTTGGAAATTTATTTCGACACACTTTTCTCTTGTCACATATACATTTGAAACATCGATTGCGGTTATCTATTGAAATTTGTGCGCGAGAATAATTTGAACTGTCAATTTAAAAAACAGAGAATAATAATTTACATGTTAGAAATATATTTCGCACATACACATACAGCGTTTTTAACTTCTTTTCTTTATTTTCTTTTTTATTTAGTCAACGCTAAAGAGAATCTTGTACGAATATTTGTCAGAATAATAATATTTATTTCTATATACAATAATAAAACGTGCAATTGTTGTCAGTACTTAGACAAATAATTGTATTCACAGTGTACGTTCCTATGCCAGAGGTTTTACGTGCACGTTCGCTCAATACAAAATTGGATGACAATTTAGAATTTTTTCTAACGTTTATATATCAAAAACTATATATCGTTATTATTCCTGTCGTCATACAAGTTGCAATGTTCAAGAAGTTTATGCAATCTGTAATATATTAATGCGCAGTACATTGGAGATTGTGTGACTTTTAAAAATTATCTTACTTATTGAGTAAAAGTTGTGTAATTTGAAAAAAAAACAACAGTCGAATATGTGCAAGAATGTGTCGGAGAAGCGATATTTTAAATTGTATAAATTTTTTAAATAAAAAAATGAATACCTTTTTTTTTCTCACTTGTGGATCCTCGTGTTGTTGACGGTTCCGAGCGACTATGGCTACTACCGCACGGTAGTCCACGCGTTGGTCGGTTTACCCCAGCGACATATCTGCATACCGTTTAGTTGTCTCGCTGCTAAAATATGCTCAACCCCTCTACCACGGAGTTAACTACCGTTCACAATTGCTCGTCGGTTTTAACTGTAAGGTCCATACCGAGCGATAGTTAAACAGTCACAAGTCACAATGTGTTCGCCCAGGCTATGTGTGTGTGTGTGTACGCGCGCGCGCGTATTCCTTTTCCGAACGTTATACATCTTTTGACCTTCTTGGACGTAAATGTATCATTCTGCGATAGTTTAAAAATTTATAACGTTATCGTATCGAATATCGAAATTTTCGCCACTTTACAATGCAGTTTGAACTGAGATAGAAATTTCTCAGATATAAAAATCGAAGTTACATTGAAACAATAAAACTAAAAACACATACGTTTGTACAATATTATTTTGTTTTATTTACAAAGTTACAATTATTAATACACGCTACATAGTTGTGTAAATATATATATATATATATACTGTTATAATATATTGTTAAATATATATACAGTATATATGAGAGACAGAAAATAATAAAAAGATAGTATATATGAGAGACAGAAAATAATAACGTTTGTGCAAGCGCAGATAAAATATTTTTTCGATATTAAAGTCTAATCTAAGAGTCTCATATTATTTAGATATTTCTATAAAGTTTGTTTATAAACATACGTAACTGTGTCTGAAAACTTTTGTCAGTTTAGTTTTGCAATGTACTCCGTATATTATAACTATGATTGCAATCATAATTATTATAATATTTACAGACTAAAGTGACAAAAGTATTCAACGCGATAGTACATAAGTCTTTACAACATTTTCATTTTTCCTTCTAGCAAATAAAAAAGGTCTATTGTAACAACAATATACATGTTTTGTTTTAGAGATGAAAAAAGTTGTCAAAAAAATCTGATTGTGTGAGTAATACTCATAAAATTAGTGATGCCAGTAATGACATTTTTTAATTATATTAAAACCAAATTTTCATAGAGTGAAATTTCATCAATGATAGCCTTAAAGATTAAATATACGCATATAAATTTTGCTTTTCTAAGCTAAGCCACCATTTAAACGCAATACGTTTATACATTTATATTGTTTCACATTACTTTTTCACTTATATTTTTAACTCATTACTCTTTAAAACCAAGAACATAACGTTAAATTCTAAATAAGAGCATAAAATATTCCCGTTTAAATATCTCGCAGCTAAAAAATATGCTCGATCTCTTTACCACGGAGCTAACTATTGTTTACAATTGTTTAGCGATACATCGCGATTTTCTCTTCGAAACATCGTCCGGAAAACATTTAGACAAAATGTATAAATATTTATGAATATATGCCGCATAAAACCAAAGTCACATTTCAGGCAAACATGTTTCCATATAACAAGTATCACCATAATTATAATAATTATACTTAAAAATAGAAAAACCTTTTTAGTGTTTTTTATATCAAAATCTTTTATTTGCGACGTTCCGTTTGTGAACGGCACGTCTGTCGTTGATTCCATTAACACGGTCGTAGTATTATCTGCAAACTTAATAAATATTTGTGAAATTTCTACTTTCTGTATGTTTTTGCGCGTATTGTCTCTTATTGATTATTAGAGAGAAAATGATAAAGTTACCACATTATCCGTTGCAGCAGCTGATAAAGTTGTAAGAGCAGCGAACCACGCTGTTTGTATGTACATTGTGAGAATTCAAGTCTTTCCTTATCGTATCGAACGTTGCGTTTCGTATGCAACACACACTCGCGCAACGTGTATATTTAATCGCCGACAATTTTCAATCAAATTGGTGCGCGTTTACCTTCGTGTTTCTTACATTTGTGCGATACCGCGTAATGATTTGCTCCGTCTTCACATTTTGCGTGAACGTAGTCAACAAGAATGACATGAATATTTATGTCTGTAGGACACAAATTCGAGTTAACTTTATTATTTATTTATGTATTCGAGTTCTGAGAGACGAAGGAATTAGCAGCGCAATAACAAGCTCACGCGGTTCAAATCTTCGCTACAAGGATTCCAATCCTTGTTGCAGCAATTTTTAAATTTTCGCGTTAAAAGAAAAATGTTTATAAGAATAATAAAACAGTTTCGCGGGTTTTTTTATCTCTCTTTATATAATTCAAATTATTTATCCAAACTCTAAAAAATATCGATACAAGGGAAGAGAAGAAAGGAAAACAACGGTGTAAGAATTTTAGCAAGCGCGTGTAAAGCAGAAATCTGTTATATTGAGTGACATAAAGGTAGTTTGCGTTTTGAAACATGGTTCGCGCAAAGGGAAGTGTAAGTAGAGAGCGCGTTGTTTTTCGAGACAAATTCTTTTTTTTTTCTCTCTCTTACTATGATTATTAAATTTAATGTATTTAGGTCTTGCAAATAAATGCAGAAATATCACAAATTCTTTACAGCGCATACGAACGCGTAAATGTTACGAAACAACGCGTATAAAAAAAAAAATTATGAAACATTAATTGCACCGTGTTATCTACGTAAACGCGAAAGCTGAAATATTTTTCTGAGAAAGAGATCTTCTAAGGTCAAGTGGAAAAACAACAGACTTACACGTAACATCAAGAGTTGGTGAATGTTGGTGTAACGAGCATCTCAGTGGAGGCTAATAACTGCAGAAAGCGCCGTAATGCTCTGTGATACCTCGCGGTAATTAGGCGTTGCTTGAAGGGATGAACGTGCTTAAAGAAGCGAACGTGCCAAGAACTGCGAAACTGTTTACCCGTTGGCATATTCTTGAAATCTAAGTTTTTTTTTTTTAATTAGAAGCTGCTGCTAATTATTTATTACGACTTAACCGACTGCAAACACTTTGTATGGACGTTAGTTTCACTACTAAAATGATACACGGGAAAGTGTCTTGAAAAAAAACTATGTATTCGATATTTTTTTTTCAAGACGCTTTCACGAACGAAATTTTGTAAGACGCGATAAAGTGTCACACTTTTTCCAAAAAAAAAAAAAAAAAAAAAAAAACCAAAAGTACATGCGCAGAAGCGTGTTACTGCAATATGTGTGTCACGGTAAAATTGTTGTATAAATATTTCTGCTTTCTCTCGAGTATATCTTTTCTACGTATATATTTTCCGCCTCTCGCTATTCAAGCGCGACTTCGTTGCGTGTGAGAACCGTGTCTCTTGTTAAAAAAGGAACGAGGTGGAAGAGGGAGAGGAGGAAGAAAATGATAAAAGAGCGATATTTAAAAGACGTAATATATTTTATTTAGATATATTATAATGATCCATAAAACATTGTTTATATATGGGGCTATAAACAAATAACTCTCGTCGCTATCGTCTAGTCGTGACGTAATAAATATTATTTTGTTTGTTTTATAGAGACAGAACCAAAAATCAAAACGCGAAGGAAGAGAAGCGCGCCAGGCCTCGTGAAAGCTCGACCGATTTTTTTCTCCGGCTGTCGATGATGCTCTCTTTTCTTTTTTTATCGCAATTTACGAATTGTGTACAGGTTCTAACAAATGAGACGTCTAGGTCCTTGATATGCATAAACTACAGGGGCTGTCGATGGCAAGTTCATTCAAAAACAAACTTCATTATAGAATCAAACAAAGTAATTAAACATACGTAAATCAGATGTACATATTTAGATTTAGAGAAAGATAACAATTAGATATTCTATACTTATATAAGCACATAACTCTTTTGATTCATACAACAGCCACCAATAGCCACTTCACTCTATATTATAATACGTTTCCATCTTACAGTAGGTAAGTCACAATTGTTTCAAACTTGCATTACTTAGTACACGACTAGAAAAGACTTTCAAAAATAACGAGTGAAACGAGCGGCACCAGAGAGAAAGAGAAAGAGAGAGAGAGAGAGAGAGAGAGAGAGAGAGAGAGAGAGAGAGAGAGAGAGAGAGAGAGAGAGAGAGAGAGAGAGAGAGAGAGAGAGAGAAAGAGACAAAAAAATTAAATTTGTGTCTTAAAGTTTTCAAATTTCTGTATCGCGGTACATTTAATGAATAGTTCGCCATCGATGCTATTGTGTAATCGCGGAAGATATGTTTCGTTTTCACAAATAATTAAAGTGACGATCTATATTTAATCTACACACGCACGTGCGACCGCTACGAAAGGAAGATGTATACAAGACCGTTTCTTGTTTTTCTCTGAACAAATGATTTTTCATCAATATCTAGGAATTATTTACTTATCGCATCGGTTTATTTACGTGTATAATGTTGTGAACTAATTGTCGAGGAAGATAATAAGATATTGTATAACTTGTGTATAAATAAATAATTCCCAAGAGTTTCAGATTCATTAAATTCATCGATAAAAGTTTGTTTTTTTATTTTTTCTTGCTAACTTCTCGCTCAGAAATCTTAATTTTAACATTTTGCCATCAAAATGACACAAAACACTTGATTTTTGTGTGTAAGCGAATAATAATAAACTTATCGTGTATAATCTTTTGAATAGAAAAGTATTTCAGTTATCCACGATTTTTATATATATATATATATGTATATATATATACTTACATACACACATTTAGGTAGATTTAAAAATCTCGCTGTCAGTGTATTCTAAACATTTGAAAGCTAGACAAACAATGGTTAAGAATCTAAAACAGCGTGTGAAGTCACAAAAGTTAAATTTCTAATAATTCAACGAGTTCTTTTACTAATAAAATTCAACGAGTGTATATGAACACAATATTGTAAAGTTCTTTCAAATGTGTGAACTGAGAAAATTTCGAGATTCTTTCTGAAATTGAAACAGCGCCAGAATAATCGATTAACTTAAGAAAACTCGAAACCTATCCGGACAGTTTCATCTTATCGTCAAAAGAATTGATGTAATAAATTTATATATTTACGGATGCAAAATTATTCTTATATACGAGAGATTAAACTTGATTTTATCTATCTTTTTTTTTTTTCAACGCTTTGCTATCATCTCGATTTGATTTCTTAATTAAATTGCGGAGCAAATACTGCAAATGCACGTAAATTAGACAGAACAAAATCGACATTTTTGTCTTTTTTCGAGGAAAAATAATCAATAATATATATTCGATCAGCCGGCATAGACCACGGGATCTAGCGATCCGGAATAATTTGTTAGGCAATTAAGCTATATACAAACGGGTGCGTTATCCTTAAAGGAGATCGATATGTCTCGTTGGTTGGCCGGGGAAGACCGTTCCGATGGATATTCATTTTTATTTCTTCTTTTAATTGGTTTCTCTTCTCTCTCGTTTATTCCTTTGCCGATAATGAGCCGTTGGTCAAGGCCATCACGGCTCCAGAATTTGTCCTCGAGCTCGCGTCAGAATTCAGTTCCAAGGACGAGTCCTGTGGACAGAAGAAGATTACACAAATCTGATTTTGATGATCACAACGTTATAATCTCATAAAAGTAGCGTATTTTTGAAACAAAAATTTGTGTCGATTCACATCTCCTTCTGGTTAAGTCTTTAGACTTTGTTGTGATGAAAATTCAAGCTTTCGCTATTTATCAGCAACCATTAGGGAAAGTCGGAAACGCGGTATAAGATTTATCGCGCGGAAAACAAAAAAAGAGGAAAAAAAGTATCGCCGCGACATCAATGTCGCCGCCGCTGCGGTCGTCGTTGGCGCCGACAACTCCGATTTACGACGTTCCTGTTAATATGCATCCAAAGAAGAACGATTCTCTATCGTGGATGACTGCTTTTAACGGCTGTGCGGCGAGAGCGACGCCAGTCATTAGGGACGCCATGCTGGATCCATTACGATCTTTACGCTCCTTACGACAAGACGCGTAGCTTTAGACAATGTTTCTGTCATCGTGTTATTTCCAACAGATTGTGTATTCCGCGCCGGAAGTCTATTCGAGCGATTCGCACGAATGTGCCTGCATCTTTTAATATTTTATTACATTCAAGCTACACGTCTTCTTTTTACTTATGTCGCGATTAAAGATACGGAAAAGCACGAAGATATTTTTAATGGACCTTCGTACGCGAAACAAAAGCAGCCAGTTTTTCAATTTGAACGCCTGAAGATTTGCTTTTATATTCTCAAAAGAAGACGATTTTCCGATGTTTCTCGCGACGATGTTTATAAGAAAGGAAACCGACGAAAAACTTACAATGCTAAGAGTATGCATGATGCACGCCTGCGTGGTGTTCTCAACGTCGATCAATTCGTCACACTCCTCGTGATCCAAGCCGTTAACGTCAGATCGAATCTTGATCGGCGACAGAGCCGCTTCGTTGTCCGTTGACTTGCCACTGTCGGGGGACGGTATTAACTCGTGTCCATCAAGCTCCTCCTCCTCCGCGCGCTCTTCGCAATCCGTAGCCTTGATTTCCTGTCATAGATTCCGTAGATCAATACTATGGTATATCGGATTATCGCGAACCGGAAACCGATTAACGAACGTATCCGTCGACTCAGACAATCGTGACGCAAAAAGGAGGGAGATCTGCATGCGGAATTATTTATCTCCTGGAAAATGGTGATTGCGCAGAAAACTATAGCATAAATATGTCGTGTGAAAAAGTCTATTTCGCACGATTAGGCAAAAATATATATGTACAAACGGAAAAATTATGCGCGCATAAATATTAGAAAATATCCCCCGATCACACACAGATGTTCATTAACAATACGGGTTAACATTTGTTCTTTTTTTTTTTGTAAATACCTCACGTGTTATCAATGATAACAACAATAATCGAAACGATAACCGCGATACTATTAATTTTATTTATTATTTACTTTTACTCCGATATATGCAAACGTAAACACATCGTAATTATTCATTTACAAATACCAGTGCGCGATATCTAGTTGTTGGTTTTTTTTTTTTGTTTTACTTCTACGCATAAATGCAGCGTCAGTTTTAATACACACGAAAAGCGTAAAACAGGCGAAGTCGTTGGCGACATTATTCCGTGGAAAAAATGTATAACGGAGCAGATCGTAAAGGTGAATATAGTTCGTTCGATATTTAACATCAAAAGTACAATTTTCGGTTTTGCTATCTGTCGATGGGAAAACTGTTAAGAGGAGATGGTAGAGCGCGCGCGAGTGGCGGGAAAATGCCATCACCCGAGGGGGCACGGAAAAATATTACTTCGTCATATGTTTCTCTGTCGATACGTCAACCCCAGAGTTAGCCTCGATGGAATCGACGTGTTCCGCGTCGGTCACTGGGGTTGCTTTTGCCGAGTGCAAGCGCGCACCCTCTCTCCCTCTCTCTCTCTCTCTCTCTCTCTTTCTCCCTCCCTCTCACCCCTCTCGGTATATACTCCTGTACAACTTCCTGGAAATCGTGCACGTCACGCATCGTCGGCAAGACTGTCTGCGGATATATCTCGTGTCTACGACGACGATGCGAAGTGTCGCGTTGCCTCTTTGTTGCTTCTCCGGATCTCTTCGCGACTCCACGCGCCGATAAATGTGACGGAAGACTACGACGACGTGTCGTTTTGCAGTAAGGGAGGAAAAAAAGGAAAGAGAAAAGGAAGAACGAAAAAGATGGCGTTGCGAGATAAGCCCCCGACGGGGTAAAATCGATTCTCTTGTGACAATTACGTTTTAATAGTGTGTTGTACGTGTATATTCGTTTATACGTACAAAATTTCGCAATGACAAAAAATAACGAGAGGAAATCATTCAGATAATTTCAAAAAAACTATGATCAAATCCCGTTTCTTTTTTTCCGACACAAAACAGATTAAATTGACAGCCTCGAGTGACATACAAATAGAAAGATGGGATTGCATTGTCCGTAACGTGACATCAACAATGGTCAATAGGTAATTTAAACGTTAACTAGTAATGAAACGCAAATTAATTAATGAAAGTGAGAGAAATGTGAGAGAATGTTACTTATTTTAAACGATCGGCCATCGCCGCCCGGTTAATTACGTACGTATCTACCGGTGAGCCAAATATTTCCGTTAATTTCACATTTTAATTACTTGAAAAATATGCGCATATGGAGAGGTAAAACAATTCTGAAAATTCATTAATTAGTTGCTCAAAAAAAAAAAAAAATGTATACGTATATAAGCATAATTTGCGAAAGAGAGAGAAATCTCGTCGAGGTGACGCAAGACACGAGGAAATAAGTGTACGTGCGGTTTGTATATATAAACCACCTTAACAACAAATAATAATACAAATTATCAATAGACAGTGATAAAACGGAAAATAAGCAAAAATAATATTATCGCCGTAATTACGATCGCTCTATGTGTATAATCGCTGAAATAATACTTCAATTACATAAATAAAAGTAACAAAAGTGCTCGTTGATTCGGATAAAAGGCTTCCTCTATTTCACCTTGCTTTGAGGGCGAGCTACGAATTCCCCTGCCAGTTGTTCGTTCCACCCTCTGCTCTTCCCGAAGCGGAAACTATTAATTCTTCAGTTCGGGTTGCGCGATTTTGTAAAATATTGCCGCATGACGTCGGCGTAAATAATAAATCTCAGACGGCGAGCGGTGCGCGAGAGAGAAAGAAGAGAGAAAAAGAAAGAAAAACAGAGAGAAAGAGAGAAGAGAATCAACCTGAAAATCCTGCGGAGAGGGCGACGACTCCTTCGGCTGGTCAAGACTGGGACTCCGCGACGGGCTCGGCGCCCTTGTGCCCAGCTCGTAAATGTTGATCATGTGAGCCGCCTGAGCATGGACCATCAGCTCCCAAGCACTTGGAAAAGACAATTTGCAGAGGACGCAGAGCAACGCCGTCGTTGAGTCTCCTGTTTGCAGTTGTGTATGTTAGTGAATAAGTCAAATATACATACACACACACATATACACACGCACTTGGTATCGCACAGTGAGTCACAGCGAGGTCAAAACAAGACAAAACTCGAGAAAATGATTTCCTTCGTTTCTCTCGTCTGTCAAGTCAATATTAGATTACACGGCAGATTTTCAGAAACAGAAGTTCTGAAGTGAATGATATATGAACATCCGTTAGCCCGAGTTTTCCTTCTTCTAGAAGCCAGATTTAACTTATCGTCGTGATTGATGACACGTATTGGCTTCGTACAATTAACTCTCTACCGCTCTAATTTTGTCTCATTCTGTTCTCTTCTTAATTCATTGTGCAACAACATAATTCGAGCCGCCGTAACGAAGGAGGAGTTTGTCGTGAAATGCGAGAGACAATTATTTTTTTCAATTTATATACGAATAGTTCGTTTATCTCAGCGAAATACGAGATATGTCGTAAAGCGACGTTCACGTTGGTTCGCGTGATTCAAATTGACGTGGAAAAGAGACAGGAATGTATTGTACATTAATTATTAAATATAATGTATATATATATATATATATTCAAATTAATTTATAAAGTTAAATTTAATAAGGAAATAATTTTCATATGCAAGTAACGCGCGAGTATGTTCGCGATTCGCGCGCGCATTAAAACTGCGTTTAAATCGTTGGCAAAAGTTGACCGAGTTTATAAAATCAGCGACGAGTACAATCGTCGATTAAAATTGACAGATAAACTGAATGAATAATTATACTAATTCTGGATCTTCCGGTGGGATTCGGAGCGCGTTTACGTACCGGAAGGAGGCGCCTCGAAGTTTATTTCGAGTACATACTTGGGGCGGCTCCGTTGAAGGTGTGACATTTACATGTGAACCGCAGCTTGCAGTAGTTCCGCTTGTGCTCCAACAGCTCCCCGAGTTCCGTGAACATCTCCCTGCAGTTGCCGCAGATCAGTATATCTGGATTGCCTACGACATACCTTCAATTAAACCCAACCTTCATTGCTCAACGGCGGCTTCCGAGTTCTGCTTTGCGAGCAAATAAATTGCAAACTTCAAAATACGCATTACCGTCACACACAATTAATAATAATACCGAAAAACAATATAAATGCACAATAATAATTTGCAAATAATTGCAATGTCTCTTCAAATTTTATATAAACATAAAAAAATTAATGTATTAAATAATTATAATAACATTAAATACGTAAAATACATATACATTAAATATAAATGTTGCATTAAGTATAAATTTATTTTAAAATCCGTCATTTTTTCTGATATAGGTCGCGAAATGTCAATTGCACAAAAAAAAAAAGAAGAAGCAAAGCACATCGGCGGATAATAAAGACGCTTGCGGGTCTTTCGAACGCGTCACTTACTGTACACTTTAAGCTGATTCAAGTCGGGTATTGTGCCGGTGTTTGCCGTCGATTGTTGTTTCTGTAGCTTCGGATGCTGCGCTCGTGTCGGTGGCATCAACCGCGGCCGTTTCAACGGCGGTGCCAAGCGCGGTGGAAATGCAGACGAGTAGTAACTGCAAGCGCGAGAATATATTTTGTTTGTAAAATACACTCTTTTTAATTCAATTCGCTAGGCGTTTTTCTGAACGTTTTTACTCTGTTGCAGACGTTATTTTACATTTTCCAACGTTATATATATGTACGTATATTATTTGCATATTCAGTTTTTGTATGTGTGTGTGTGCGTGTCTCTCTCTCTCTATCTCTATCTCTCTTTGATGTTTGACAATAGCACTTCTCTCTCTGTATCAACGACTTTGCAAGTGTACAATATCTCTTACAAACAAGAGTATTTCCTTGAATACATTTGGAAACATGGCGGAATAAATGCGCGGCATTAAATGCATTTTGCAGAATCGTGAAATTCCGCAACGAGAACTTCTTTCGAGGACATCTCTTTGTCGTAATATAAAAACTTCCTACAATGGCACATGTCCTTTTCGTTTTATTTTGATTTGAGGAAGAAAGTTACATTTTTCTCTCTCATTTTGTAGTTGTGATGATTTTTTTATTTTCTTCAATATANAAAAAAAAAAAAAAAACAAATATTTGAGAGTAATTCGCACATTTGATCGTCAGTTTGAACGAGAACATGATAAGTCACTCGAAATTGTCGCGTTGCAGTTCTCTATAATTAAAAAAAAAAAAAAAANCCCCCCCCGTTTCTTGTAATTATTATTGGTAAGTTTTGCGAGGAAATCTCGCCGGAATTGGAAGAGTCGGTAGCTTTAAGAAAGCTGAAGCGATTGTTGCTTTAAAACTTCGAAACTAGTGGCGGACGGGAAAATAAATTAGGTTTGAATAATTCAAGATGTATCCGGTAATGCGGTCCCTGCAAATTAAGATCGAATTACCGCCGAGATTTTTCCTTCGAGAGAGAGTACACGGTTCCCCGAGCCAATGCATATCGCATAACGATGAGACAAATTGTTATTGTAACACGTAAAGAATGTAACACAATGTGCAATTTGGAGCAATTTCTGAAGAAATTTCCGCGTGTGAAAAAAAAAACAATCTCTTTCTCTTTTTTTTCTCTCAAAACTCATATCAAACTATTGTTCTCTCCACGACGTATCAAATTAAAGCAATTTAAAATCTGTTAGCAGTAAATCGATGAACATTAAGGAATGCAAATTGCATTCTCATTGCGAGACGCATACGAAACATGATATATGTAATAACGGGAGTCGTGATACGCAGATGGAGAATTTCGTCTTCCCGGAAGGATTTCGCTTTACGATATCACAATGCAGAATGTACGCGCGCGATTTTACGACGTCAGAACCTGCCGCTTGTCATAAATACCGCAGATGTAAGCTTGCGAACTGTTTCCGTTTGCGCTCTCCTCATTTTTATTGGAAACGGTTTTCTTTTTTTTTTTTTTTTGGTCTGATTTTGATTGGATTCGAAAACTTCATCTCTGACAAGTGAAATCCTCTCTGATAAAATAAAACATCGTCACTTTTAATGTCTCTATTCATGTTAATATTCAAGTTTATCACATTGGCTTATCTATTTTTTTATTTTCCTTTTTTTTTTGTAACACGTTCTTGTCTCCATTCTGTGAATGAACAATATATCTCTTCGCATATATTTATCCGTTAAACATCAGACTGCCAATACTGAACTCATCACTCACTCACTCAATCTCGCACACACATATACACACATACACACACACGTACACACACACGTTATACGATTACAATAACCTCGAGATATACTTTTAAAATTTTATATTTCAGATGAAGTGTATACTGTATAATTTATTGCTTAAAAACAATATCAAAAACACTTAGTATATTTTATTTTATAGTATATTATTAGTATTTATTTTATTAATATATAATTTATAGTTATATATATTTTGTTTTTATTTCTCTCACATTTCATAAATAAACACACATAAATAAAACAAAACTATGTATTTTCCGACGAAAGATAGATTTTTATTATTGGTCTTTCTGGTTATTGGAAGTGCATTAAGAGATGCGCGGTGGAGTTTCGAACGTCAAATAGCGAACAGGAGTCGGAAGTTACGTACGCGCGCATTCTGCGGTGAATTTACTAAAATCGAATGTACTGTTCATCGGCTGTATATGCGATTCACAGTCAGGTCGGCAACAATACACAGAAAAGTAATCAATATCCACAGTCCCCCTATTGTCATTGTTGTATCGGCTTCGCAAACCGATCTCGCAACGCCTCACGCGCAAGCGACACGGTGAAGTCTGAGTCCTGACAATAAAAGTAACATGTTACTGACACATGTCAATGTTTACGTTGTTTTCGTCGTGCGTTGGCGATTCCTCTGTTTGTCGGAAAATTTTAACGTTTGATTTTTTTTTTGTTTTATATATGCCGGCGAATATATCGAGCGAATTGTAAAAATTTGTGTGAAGTCGGAATAGAAAATATTATCGACAAAATCTGACAGCAGTTCGCGTAATACACTGTGTGTTGCAATCACGCGAGAAGAACACTCGGAAATTGCAAATATGATTTTCACACACGTATCGTTCATCACGAAACAAATGTATTTTGTTTCACGATGTTATGTATTTGCATTTGAACATTCGATTCGAAGATCTCTCGACGTACAGACAACTCGCAGATAAATTTTAATGAATTTTACTTTGTTGCATTCTTTTGTGCAGAATTCTCTTTTGCATTTTCTTCTCGGAAAAATACGCAATACTTGAAAGACGTTCTGTTCCACTCGCCGGCTCTCTTGGCAAGAAAAACGAGGGTGTTATTTAAGGATTAGAGCGGTGAGAGAAAGAGAGATACAGGAGTGTGCGTGAATTCGTGCCTTTCTGGCGTTGTTAAAAGTTCTTTTAAGACGAGTTTCGCCCTGTTTCACTTTCGAAGTCGCGAATAATAGCCGAGGGTTCGCGACAGGCGAAAAGGGATGATCAGGAAGAGGGTGGGAAAAAGACTATGGGAAGCCATCATCTTCGACGTTGTCCGATGTTTTCTTTTTCTCTCATTCTCCGATGTTTCGACAGTTTTAATTCCTTCCCGAGTACCATCCAATTACCGGCCAAGTCAGAGCTTTTGTTTTTTACTTTTTTGTCGTCCAATACACGTGTGTGTGTATATATATATATATATATATATATATGTATATAGATCTTCGCAATAATCCTCTCACTTCTTTTCTGAATTAGTTTCAGAATATTACGTGAAAAAGATTGATTAATTTTTCACAAATAACTACCCAATTATACTGCGAGCCGACTATTTGCATAAAAAATTTAATAAATTAAAAAGAAATGAAGAAAACAACAAATGTTATCGGTGCTCTGGAAAACACGCGGTAACAAATTGATCTGAATTTCTTCGATTTCAATTTGTTTTTTCTTTTTTTCACATAATTTCTTCTCGTTGATCATTTTTAAAGCCCGTAGATATTTCTTCGTTCTCTAAATCGGATAAATGTCGAGTCGATTATATTACGGCACGAAATCTGGGTTACATATTCGCGACTGTAAAAGTCTAGTCGCATTAATATCAGTGTTGGACATATATCCCTTTCCTATATGGCTTCAAATTGTCTTAGTAGACACAAGTAGGTTAATCTTGAAACATCGGATCGGTCCTATTTAAAAAAATTCTTCGATATCTCTCTCGAATTTTCAAAAGTCAAATAACGTATCATAATTCAATAGTCAAATAGCACATTGTAATTAACTTTTTCTATATTTAAGAAGCTGAGACTTCTCGCAAAACCTATTATTGTCAAATAATAGGTTATCGCGCGAGAGTTAATTATTACTACCCGTCGCTCGCTCGATGTTATCGCGACGATACTCGCGGTTAGAAAATTTCGAGATGACGACAAACGTGCACGCAAATCCGCGCATACAACAAATTCTATATTATTTTAGGTTTCTGTATTGTTTAATCGAGCGCGCTCAATCTCGGGTCGGGACGACGACGTGTCCCGGGCGCTAAAAAAACGACGCGGTTGTCCGATGCCGGTCGTCCACGTCGTCCGCGTCTCCACTTTATATACGCTGCTCTCTCGGATATGCATGTATTCAGATTAGACAACGCGGAGGGAGAATTTGTCGGATAAATTCACCCGGGGGCCGGTGTGTGTTCGCTTTGCCTCTCTCTAACACACTGGATTTCATTAAAATTCATTCGGCGCGGCAAGCTGTCACACGCGCCGCGGATGTACAGACGGACGAGCAAGCTAATAGGCTTACCGTGTTACTACAAAAGACGACTGGACCCTTCTCTCTCTCTCGTCCGAGCACGAGATATTTAATTTATATGGTCACTTTGTGAGTATCCCCTCTTCCCCACGTGATCGTATAAATTAAATATAAATAATATACGTGTACAATGTGTAAACTGAATTAGATGACGCTGCATCTAGCCGTCGGCGGTCATGCACGACTGTCCAGTGAAAATGCAAAACCGTCGGTGAAACGAATAATCACTGAAATTGATTAATTTAGTATATCAGCTTGCACCCCGCATAAAACTGCCGAGAGAGAGAGAAAGAGAGAGAAGGATTTCAATTAGTTGCAAATTGACCACGATTACAAAAACTGGTATATTTCTGTTTAAGTTACTTAAAATGTTTTATTATTTTTTTTTTGTTTGCTTTTTCTCGATTATTGAATTGTTCTTGTTGGTTTTTATCTTTTTTCACAGAAGTAAACAATATCGTATAAATTGCACCGATTGCGGTATAACTCGATTATTTGTAAATCAAATGAATGTGGCAAACGTTTAAACTGATAAACTAATTATTACAACATGATAATTGAAACCATTGCAATTTTGCAATAGATAGATCGTTTTTGTGTAACGACACGCGCAACAATTTCGCCGTATTATCGCAAACGGCCTTTGCCACTAGAGTTGGTTTCTTGTGTTCAGTACGCCTTTAGTCGTCAATAAATCATGCATTTTTCATCAGAAAGCGTCAAGACATCGTCACAATGTACGGCTTGGCGGACAAAACCAGCCGCGGCTATATTTTACTATCGCAAGTATC